CTCTGGTTTTAAAGTGTTATTTTCTATTTATTTGTGTGGTACTTATTTTGAAGGTAGTTGGTATACTCCAGAAACATTGTTTTGGTGGCTGCTACAAACTACGTTGAAGTGGTTGAGACTCTAGAAGATATGTCATGCTGTTTACGTTGTATGTTTTGGTGATGTTACTTGGAAACTGCCTTATTATTATTATTATTATTATTATTATTATTATTATTATTATTTGAAACACAACAAGATGAATCCACAGCAGACACTCTGCTGGCTGTTGAATTGAATCACATGTCGGACACTTCCCAAGTGTCCAGGTCTGTGTGATGTATCGGCGAATAATGTGTGCAGATCCCAGTAAAGTGGCCTTCTGCAACTGGCAGATGGTAATTTTGTCAGCGCCGATTGTGCAGGCCAAGGTCTTTAGGCACTGCACCCAGTGTGCCGATCACCACTGGGACCACCTTTACTGGCTTGTGCCAGAGTCTGTGCCATTCTAATTATTATTATTATTATTATTATTATTATTATTATTATTATTATTATATAAGATAAAACTATTGTAAGATGTGCAGCAGGATTACATTTAATACATTGACCCCATGTTTTTATGATAGAACCACTTAGGAAATGACATGAATAACCCAGGCACAAAAATTGTGTTACATAGTGTTATCATTTCTCCATATTAAGAAGGTTGTTTTTACTGGCCTTGAATGCCCATACAAGGGAAGCAGAAGGAGCTGAATGGGCAATGCTGGCTGGATATGTGGAAACAGGACTTGGCAGATAGGTTAAACAAGGAACAATGAAGGAAATGTGGAAATGCAGATAATGCAAAGAGTGAAGTAAACAAAATATTGAAAAAATAATGAGAGCGGCAACAAAACTGTGAAGTTTGTCATATCCAGGGGGATGCTTTGCTCCTTAAAACTCCTGTAAAACAGTAATTTCCCAACATTGTTAGTAGAAGCTTCAGCAGCCATTCAGATCCTGTAATCTTGGTCACACTTGGTTTGCCATTTATACACTGACAACACTGAAAGGCAACTGGGTAGCTGCAGGATTTGTTTATTCTCACTCCATTGCTTCTCAGGAGCAAGTCTGGCTTTTGTTGTCGTCTTCCAGATGAATACAAAGAGAATGGAAAGAAGGGCATAGCAGCTTGCCTGTTTCATCTCTGGCTAGAAGCAAAGCTAATTCAAGGCTTTAAAGGAGACAATGCCAGAAGGTGCTACAGGCCAACTCTGGCAGAAAGAAGTGGGAACAAGGGTTGCCAGGTTTTCGATTGGCCTTTACAGCTATGCAATTTTAGTAATGGCTTCATTTGCTGCAATTAAGAAGTTCCATTTTACATTATGGAGATTATTATTATCATTATTATTATTTTGTAAAGCAGCATTTGTTCATTATTACAGATCAAGGTTGGAATTGTGTGGCTTGTTGACTCCATGCATTGGTATATGGGTGTGTGTATCTGTCCATCCATCCCTCGCAATCCTTGAACCCCTGAAGCTACAAGGCAATCCTCCTTTTATGCTGTAAAATACCACATGAGCCTAAATATCACATGATCATTTGTCCTAATCAGCAGGAGCGGTGTTGTAGTAGAGTGTGCTGAGCAGGCTACAACAAGTAGTAAAAGGGTAAAGAGGGCTGCTCAGGTGCTGGATCAAGAGCAGCAAAGGAAGCGAATTAGGGAAATACTCATGGCACCTACGGATGCTGAGTCATTCGAAGGGTTCCGCGGCTCTGAAATGGAGGAAGATGGAGAGGAATGTAGAGGTCAGAAGCGGGTTACTCAGGATCAAGAGTCAGACGAGGAGAGAGAGAGAGAAAGAGGATCCATGAAATACTTAATGCTCCAACTGAGGAGGAGGACTTCTTGGGATTTACAGGGAATGATGGGACTGGGAGTGATGACGGGGAGGAGGATGGGTTAGATTGGACCTGTGTACAAGAGATCAGAGACATATGTAATCAGCCCACATCAAGTGAGGACTTTGAGGGGTTTGTGGGAGACTGGCAATCTGGGGACACTTGGGATGATCTAAGTCTTGAAAGACACTGGCAACATTAGAGAGATGGGCGGCGGCGCTCAGCTGAAGGAGATCAGGCAGCTGGGAGTGATGAGGAAAGGGAGGAGAGCAGCTCATCCTCCAATAATGAGTTATAGGATATAAGTTGGTAAGAAATCAATGGGTCTTTGCAGAAGGCAAAGTGTCTTACTGTGTTTAGAGCTTTGTTGCTGCCATAACGTTCGTTTTGGGTCCTGAGAATGCAGATCATCAAGCTTCCATGTTACTCTCGTTGGGAAATCCTGTAAGTGCTGACTGCTTTCTTCCTGCTGACTACAGATTGTTTTTCTGAGACTACGACATCGTGTTTTGGAATTTTAGCTACTGTTTTGCTCATGTTTTGACCCTGGATGGTTTTCTGACCTTGTTATTGTGTGCTCCCACCTTGCTACATCTTGCTCTGTGTGCTCTGTTATTTGCAAGCAGTTTGCTTAAGTTTTTGTTTAAAGCGGATTATATCTCTATATAATCCAGACTATCCTTTGAACTGTGTTTTTGACTAGTGTTTGCTACTGACTTTATTTTCCTTGCTAGACTCACTGAATCCAAGTGTTTCTAAGTTGTTTTTGTTATTAATAAACCTTGTTTGGACCCTTTTTACTGTGTTTGGCTTCTTTAAGGCTTCTGGGTCTTGATAAGCGGAGGGAGGGCTTGTTATCAAAGGTTTATGTAGAGGCAATGTAAACATTCCTTGAACTGAGAAGGAATACAATATCTAACTGCTTTGTTTGAACTACTTCATCACCTCTAGATATATTTCCATGTGGAATAATTTCCATGGAAGCAACTAGTTACAATTAATTGAGGAGTGGTTGTCAACAAAGGCATTTGTAAATTTATAATTCATTCATAATGTCAGAAGCAAACTGAAAATACAGTTATTGTTGTGGCTCAGTCTGAGCCTGAGTCTGAGACTGAATTGTTTGGGCCTTCTGGGCCTGCTGGGCCTTCTGAGCCTAACTTTCTGCAGGATGACGAGGAGGCTGATGGGTTACAGATTCCTGTACACGTTCCAGACGGGGCTGATAGTGTGGCTTCTGAAGAAGAAACAGCAAGCCTGTTCTCCGGGGAAAGGAATGTGCATTTTGATAGAGATAAACTCCACAAGTGCAGGTGGAGACTCCTTTCAGTTCCCAGAGTGATCAGGCCCAGCTGGACCAAGATAATGAGTTGTTTAGCCTTGAAGATGATAGTGAATCAATGACTAGACAGGATCATTTACAATTAAGAATTCGCAGAAGTACACGTCTGGCCAGCAAGCGTGAAGCCAAAGGTCAACGGAATGCTTTCATGTCAGGGAAACTTATTTAATGATGTAGCCGACAGGCATTTCTTGTCAGTCCAATGTTACTCGTTCCCTGTTAACTTCTGTGGAAGTACCTTGGCTTTTGCTGATCCCGATTTTACCTGTCTACTATGGACTCTTGTTTGACCACAGCTAAGGGATTATGCTTCTTGTTATTTGCCTTTGGATCTTGGGAACTTTTCCATTGCATTTAAGACTCTGTTTTGCCTACTGAACTTTTGCATCTTTATTACTCTGTTTTGATTTTGCTTTTTCTCAATAAACTACAAAACCTACAGCCTTGGTGTGTGGTGGTGTCTTGAGCAAGGTGAAGCTACCCTGAGTTGTGACAGTTATAATGTATATAAAAACCACAAACAAAGAACTTGGCATTATACTAAATTTTCTTTGACCAGAAGCTGGCCACTTCGAGTAACTCTGGTGTCGCTGTATGAAGGTCCTCCATTATGCATGTAGCAGGGCTCAGACTACATTGTAGTAAGTGATAATGCAGCATGTCTAACAGCCACATCCACTGTTTTAATGTGGTAAGATGTATTCCACACTGGGCATTCGTATTCAGCAGCTGAGTAGCAAAGTGCAAGGGTAGATATCTTCACTGTGTCTGGTTGTGATCTCCAGGTTGTGCTACTCAGCTTTCATATGATATAATTTCTAGTACCCACTTTTTGCTTGATAATCATAAGAAATCTGTTGTCTTTCAAAACCATCTTCTGTATGCTGAGTCAGGTTCAGCACTTGTGATGTGCAGCTTTTCCTTTTCCCGAACCAGCTTGCTGTAGGATCATAAATGGGTCTATTTTTTTCAAAAATTGCAAATTACATTATAATTGCAACATGATGAGAAATAATTTCAACTCTTTTGAGGTATGGTTACAACTGTTTTTCTTACATATGTGTTGTGAAAAACAGACCAGTGATTTGTGAAATTCTGATTTTTTAAAAAAGAAACTTCTAAATAAACAACTATGCTATATGGCTTCAAGCTGGATTTGACTTATGAATATGCTTATCATAGGACCATTGCTGCTTTCTGAGTGGCTTGTCTAAGGTCATCCAGTGGGTTTCTGCAGCTGAGCACCATGTTTTCCCGAGATCCTAGGCTAGCAGTCAAACCACCGCAGCATGTGGACTTACTATTTTAACTATTTTAAATATATACTTACTAGTAACTGTTTTACTTTTGAATAATAAGAAAGTAAATAGTTACTTTTTGAAGACTGCACCTGCAGTGATATAATGTTGGGGGCCTCAGAAACACCGTTTTCTAAATTCTGGAAGAAGGTTGACCTGAAACAACCCTAACCATCTAAATTTCAGCAAACTGAATGTGCAGAAAAAAACAAAATGATCTGATCAATAAAACTACATTCATTTGCATTAAGTTTGTATCTGCAAGACTACAGATCCATTAGAAAGTGAAGACACCGTTAATTCTACATATCCACCCAACCATGATCAAATTTTGAGTCTACGGTGGGGTGTAGGCATTCCCTACTGCAGCCTCCTGTCATTTCACAGCTCTAGCTAGCACTCATATGTGGTTTTTTTTTTTTGCTGTTTTATATAAGGGTTTCTTATACCAAGGGCTCACTGTACTATCCAACTAACAAAATGAGGCATAACCAACTAATAAAAATGCTTTATTGATCAATAACAGGTGGAAAATTCATCTCTGTACATAAAACACCAACAATATAATACAGCTGCAATTAAAAAGCAAAACAAACAAGGATCTCAACCTGAGTAAAAGGATCAGAATAATTTAGATCCTACTTCCAGCAATGGCCATTTATAGAAGGCTATATACACCTTGTGCTGAGGCACTCAATATAGAAATGTCTAGTTCTCGTGACTTGGAAGTCTTTCTAGAATATAATTTTAGAGTACTCAGATATAGAGCTGTTACTTTAGCGTTCTGTAAAGGAAGAGCTTCTGTTACAGAGGAATTGCATTTCCTTGCTTCTCAAACAGCAATATCTTATTACTGGGGAGTTTTCTATTAACTAGTCTCAATAAGATTGTATTAATACTTCAGGCATCTACTGTATTTTTCTCTGATATCACTAGTGACAAGCAGCAGAATCCGCCCACAAAATTCTACTATATTTCTTCAGAGGCTGAGAGCTTCTTTTCAGAAGTGACAATGAAACTCTTTTAAAAATGAAATAATAAATACAGCAAGGATATATGCTAGGATACATTCACCACAGTTTGGTCTAACAAGACAATATGTTAATCACATATTTTTTCCAAACATTTCTGAGACTTTTGTTTATTAAATGTAATCTACTTTCCTACATCCCTTGCATTAAGCATGCTTTGTTTTGTGAATAATCACTGGATGGTAAACAATGACTTAATTTGCAAGTCTGATTTCTGAGGCACTTATTTCTGAGGAAATCCAGTTGTGAGAGAGGAAATAGTAGGAAAGATAGTAGCAAACACATCTGATTAATGAACCCTCTCATCTTCCTTTCTCCATTTTTTAAAGATTTATTTAATAGGGTCTCTTCAATGTTGAACTCATTCATAATTTATTCCAAACACAAATTTAAGAACTCTTAATCCAATGAAAATCAATAGGCATAAGTGCTCTTTACATTAATGTCACATAAAATTGTTATCAACCATGAATTCTGAAGTAAAAGCTCAATCCTAAGTGTATTCTATTGGAAGTAAGTACTTTCCAAGAAAAATTTATCTTGAGATAATGTTACTAATCTCACAAATATTTAAATAACCACACATACTTTATAAAACTTTAAAAAATCTTCAAAAATTATACATTCAGTTTGCTTAAAATTATACTACCTCTAGATCATATTAGAGCATTACAGTGTTCAGGTAAGTAAGAAATAATATTTTAAACACAACATTTACAAAAAAAATGTGAATATATCAGGATTAGGAAAAACTAGCTGTATGTTGCACTGCATTCTTTATCAAATTGTAATTGATATGTATAAGAGTTGCTAACTAAACCAGTCAATAGTTTCCATAAAATTTTAGTAGATGGAGAAAGAGGAAGAAAGACCTTTAATATCTCAAGAGAACTGCTTTGGATCCATACTTTCTGAAATAAATGTAATATAATATCATCATGACCAATGCAAGCCCCACATATTTCAGTGGGTCTAACCCATTATTACTAAAAACCAGTTAATTACAACACAAACAAAAAACAGCATAACTTAATTTTGCATGCTTCTTCTTTTATATCTAATAAACAAAAAGCATGGTTTCAGTGGAAAAAAATAGTTATTGAAATGGTAAAAGACACAGCTATAATAATTGTTCTGATTGCCTATCACATAGAATGGATATGTATTGGGCCCGCAGTTAGCACATCGGGTTGGGGTGAGCTCTCGCCATCAGCCCTAGCTTCTGCTTACCTAGCGTTTTAAAACAGCAATGTGAGTAGATAAATATGTACAACTGTGGCGGGAAGGTAAAAGGCGCCCCTGCAAAACATGCTGGCAATTCGATCAGGAAGGTGTCCATGGACAACAGGCTCCTTGGCATGGAAAAATGAAACAACAGCACCTCCCCATGGTCAAGTCAAGCACACACCCACACCCACACCCACACACATGGAATACAATAAAGTTATGACCAAGATCCAGTGGTGTGCTTTTGCTGCCCCCCCCCTTGACCACCAACATTTCCACCTGAATCAGCAATTCATTGTCCCTCTTGCCCTTCTTTCCCATAGCCTCCTATGAATGGCCGAGAAAGTCTCTAAAACAGATTTTTAGCATGGGAAGAGAAAGCTGTAGTAGGAGCTGGAAAAGTGTCAGTTTGCCTAGCAGGAGGCAGTATCTCAAAATGAAATATAACACCATACTGTTATATTTCAGTCAGTTTCTATAAGAAAACTGTAATCAAATGCAGATTCTCTTTACCATATGATAAATTAGGAATAAAATGCTTAAAATGAAAGTGTGTGTGTATTTGATATGCACAATTGCCGGCAAAAGTATATACTCTGAATCATTTTTCTTGACATCTCTACATTCATCAAAATGATGCTTCTCATTTCATAATAATTCAAAGTAAATAAAAGACACGAGAAGCTGGAGGGTTATCAGTTGTTGCTGTGTGCCTCCAAGTTGTTTCTAACCTATGTTACCCCTAAGGCGAATATATCATGGTGCTTTCTTGGCAAGAATTGTTTGAAGGGGTTTTGCCTTTACCTTCTTTCCTCAGAGGCTGAGTGTGACTTGCCCAAGATCATCCAGTGGGTTTCCATGGACGAGCAGGGATTTCAACCCTGGTCTCCACGGTTATAGTCCAATGGTCAAACCACTACACCGTACTGGCTCTCCATTGCATGCTATTGAGAGATAAACCTCACTGAACTCACTGGAACATATATTTGATATATGAATAAGTTAGCACTATCAAGAACACTCTAATTCCAAAGGGTCACTCTTGAAGTAAAGGCAATTGTCTTTTGAACTGTTTTCCCTCCTGAATAAGGCCTATGTTCACAGTTTAACAGGCAGCATTGCATTTGTGTGCAAATACACCATGGCTTTTGTGAAAAAAGTCCAGAGTGCATGAAAGATATAAAAGAAAACCAAAAAATCATTGGAGAAATTAGATAGAGACCACAGCTGAGTCTTTCTTAAACATATTGTGTTCAGGACCTGTCGTTGGACTTACATGGAGGGGATCTAGGTAAGAAAGATGCTTGGGCTCTCATCCAACAAAGCTTTTTTATTTAAGTGTTTTATGGAGTTCATTTAAAGATACTGCCTCCTTTTGAACCATCTGTTCCAAGCACACTATGGTTTCAATAAACCCATGCATGGTAAAAATGATATTTTAAAAGAAATATAGAAAGAACTAAGAAGGATGAAGCTTTGTTTCTTTGGAAGACCTGGATTTTGAGGACCAAACCATGAATAGACACAAGATACCATCAAATGGCATTCAGAGACTATTTCAAAATTTATACAAGGTTGACTGCAAATGCTTTATCCTTTTAAATAAAGACCATCTAATTATGAGACACACTCTTTATCTGGGATTATAAAAATAAATAAAATGGCATCAGTTCTTTAAATTGCATAAAACATTGGTTTCACAGAATTTTAAGGGTTTTGGCAGTGTAATCTGCCCTTGTTATGCAGAATTCAGACATGCCTTTCCATGTCTCTGTGAAGGCCATGCTTTCTGATGTAGAAACTGCTGTTCCAACCATCTCAGGAAAGCCAAAAGAAGTGAGAAATTTTCAGCTGCAATGGAGTCATAAGATAACACTTAAACAGCAATCTTCTGTGATTGAATGCCATCAGGTTTATGTGAAAATTTGATGCCTGTATCAAATGATGATTTCAGTCATCTCCTTGGGAAGAACCTCTTGCACCACAAAATTCAATTTAATTTTCCCAACAGGAGCAGTTCATCATCTTGTGCACAGTTAAGAGATTATACAGAAAGCCCTTTCTGCCAAAGAGTTCTGCCAAATGACAGAGACAGATACTTGTTTGAACTGTTTCGTATTCTTCATGTTTTCTATTCAAGTGAAATCCTCTTGAAAGGGAGAAACCATCTATAGAATTCAGAACTCAGGTCTCTGGGAAAAGAAAGAAAAGAGGCAAGATGTAAAAATTAAAGTATCCATGGTACATAAGGTTGGCTGAATCTGAAAAATAAGCACTCCTCTACTTTAGATCTCTCCATTAATTCCACTCCAGAATGCTTTGACGAAAGCCAAGTCTTTCTGGTTTCTCTAGTTCTATGAAATATGTCAAACGGTAGGATAACAAGTGTATAGGCATTTATCGCACCTTCACCTTCACTTTTGACTTTAACCCAAGATTAGGACACATCCTGAACTCATCACCAGTACTATTTCCCTCAAAAGACCAGCAGATAAAAAATGTTGCCTATGGAGTTTATAAGCTAAATTTTTACTATTTAGGGTTCGGAGGAAACCATGAGGAATTTTAAAATTTCACTTACACCTTCTTGGATCCTAAACCAGTTCCTGTTTTTTCAGAAGTAAAAAATACTATGGAAGCATTTAAGGCAGTGGTTCTCAATATGTGGATCTCCAGATGTTTTGGCCTTCAACTCACAGAAATCCTAACAGCTGGTAAACTGGCTGGGATTTCTAGGAGTTGTAGGCCAAAACACCTGGGGACCCACAGGTTGAGAACCACTGATTTAAGGTTACAGTATGAACAGAGAGAAAACGGATAGGGAAAAAATGTTTTCTCTTCTCTCACACTATTAGATTTATTTATTTATTTACTACATTTATACCTCACCTTTTCTACCAAAGGGATTCAATGTGGCTAACAATCACACACTTTGATCAATTTAAAACAAAGCAAATACAAAAAGTTTAAAAAACAATTAATAGTATTGTGTATCTAGTTAAAAATACAATTAAACACAACAAATACAATTAAAATGCATTTTTAAACAAGTAATTCCCCTCCCCGAAATTCCACCCACAACCTCCCCAGTAGTGTGCCCCTTTTTCTTTCTCATATGCCTGTGGAATCACCAACTAAAGATGAAAGTGAGACAGATATAGATGAGAAGGTCATACACATGAAATGTGGAATTCAATTCCATACATTATTGTGGTGGCTGCCATCTTGAAAGGCTTTAAAGTGGGAAGTACTTTTTTTCATACCTGGTAGCAGGCATGTAGCCGGGGGGGGGGGGGGCTCGGGGGGCTTCAGCCCCCCCCCCGAAATTTTCATGGTGGTTCGCGAAAAGGCCTTATTGGTGCATTATTTAAACTGTTATGTTTATTCATATCATGATCTGATCACCATACTCAATATATCCCATATGCATGGGGGTATTGGGGTATTGATACAAAAGGTTTGCTAGGCTAGACCCTCTTTCACTCAGACTCAGCCCCCCCCCCCGAAACTCAGCCCCCCCCCCAAACCCCCCCTGAAAAAAAATAGCCCCCCCAAACCCCCCTGAAAAAAAAATCCCCCCCCCCCCCCCCCCGGAAACAAAATCCTGGCTACGGGCCTGCCTGGTAGACTTGCCCAAAAGCTGAAAAGTTTTGGAAGAAAAAACAATTAATAGTATTGTGTATCTAGTTAAAAATACAATTAAACACAACAAATACAATTAAAATGCATTTTTAAACAAGTAATTCCCCTCCCCGAAATTCCACCCACAACCTCCCCAGTAGTGTGCCCCTTTTTCTTTCTCATATGCCTGTGGAATCACCAACTAAAGATGAAAGTGAGACAGATATAGATGAGAAGGTCATACACATGAAATGTGGAATTCAATTCCATACATTATTGTGGTGGCTGCCATCTTGAAAGGCTTTAAAGTGGGAAGTACTTTTTTTCATACCTGGTAGCAGGCATGTAGCCGGGGGGGGGGGGGGGGGGGGGGGGGGGCTTCACCCCCCCCCCCAAATTTTCATGGTGGTTCGCGAAAAGGCCTTACTGGTGCATTATTTAAACTGTTATGTTTATTCATATCATGATCTGATCACCATACTCAATATATCCCATATGCAGGGGGGTATTGGGGTAATGATACAAAAGGTTTGCTAGGCTAGACCCTCTTTCACTCAGACTCAGCCCCCCCCCAAACTCAGCCCCCCCGAACCCCCCCTGAAAAAAATTCAGGCCCCCCCCCCCCCCGAAACAAAATCCTGGCTACGGGCCTGCCTGGTAGACTTGCCCAAAAGCTGAAAAGTTTTGGAAGAATATAAATGATGTTATACAGAAGATTCTAAAAATTCAAATTCAAAGATAACCTGAATTCTTTCTATTAGGAATGTTAGAGATAAAAGAAGATAAGTATAAAGAGAATAGTTGAAAAAAGTACTAGAAATTATGAACACGGATAAACTCACCTATTGGCTTTCACTAAACCAAAGTTTACCAAAGAAAGAAACTAACTGGGATCCAGTAAAGGATTATTTCAAACAGTTGAAAATAGATCTTATATGCTAAAAAGAACCAATCATAAGGTCAAAGAAATACGGAGGGGAAATAGTCCTATCATTAGACAACACTTTCTAAAGGAAGACCTTATGACCGTCAGAAAGAAGAAGGAAGCCAACAGTGGGGATTTGGGGGGGGGGAGGGGTTGTTCTCTCTCTCTCTCTCTCTCTCTCTCTCTCTCTCTATTTCCTACTTTAATATATATGATATTGTTCTCTCACTTTCAATGTCAAAATATCTACTTTTTAACTTTTAACAAAATTCTAATTTTTTTATATATATATATATATATATATATATATATATATATATATATATATATATATATAAGTGGAAGCTTAAGCTATTAATGGTTACTGATCAGAATGGCTGTGTCTCAACTCCATATGATAGGCAGATGTTGAACTCATGTCCCACTGGAAGGCTTTCCAGATGCATCTGGTTGACCATTGTGTGAACAGAAAGCTAAATTGACTATTTTTTCAGTCTGGTCCACCACAGTTTTTTCTGATATTCTTAACAAATTCCACTGGGTTCAGCTGACCTTACTGCACTAACAGCAGCAGATTAGAGAGCAAAAGGGTCACAATAGCCAAGACAAGATATAAATGTAACTCTAATTTTTTATTGTTAATTTTTAAGAAGTCAAAAAAATAGTAATATAAAGAAATAAAATAAAATTTTAGTTTTACCTGTGGGATATTTAAGGCAGCCTCCCTCTATAAAACAGGTTAATGCTACTGTATTAAACTGTGTACTTATTTTGTTTAAAATAATTCTGAGCCACAAAGTCCTTCATAAGCTATTGGAAAGAGTGTTTCTCCTCCTATCATTTTGATAGATGGTATCAGCAAATATTGGAGCTACTGCTTTGACAAGGGAAAGTGACATTATTAAGTAGGAGTACTGGCAGAGAGCCCAGGAATGCAATCTTGCCATTAGTCCAAAACACCTGAATCTGCTGACATGTTCAGTGTGCCAAAGGGGCCAGTGTTTTGTTTGGCTCTCCACAGTGTGTTTGATGAAAACTTAACCAGACTAGGATGTTATTAATATACTGAAGTTATCAGTACCCATATAGAAAAGCCAGTAGATATATGTGCGCGCGCGTGTGTGTTGTGTGTATGTATATGTGTGTGTGTGTATATATATATATATATATATATATATAATTGTCTATCTTTTCAATAAGATAAAAGGGGGTTGGCCCAGACTTTGATGTTTACTTTGTCTCAGTCTGACTTTCCAGTGTTACAGGAGAAATGGAACTGAGCAGCAATTGTGACTTAAATATGTCGTGACAGTAACTGCGAGCTGGAAGGGGCTGGTGGTTGGATAAACAGAGCCCATAGCTTCTCAGAGTAACTACAAAAGTCAGACAAGCTAAAGAGAAGCAGTTTTCTATTTGTCCATACAAAAACAGAGATACCTCCCCCCCCCCCATGTTATATCTTTGAAGTGTTGACCAGTATGCATGATGAGGAAGGAGACAGAGGCATTTCCAGTGGTTCAGATATCGAGAATTCCATGTAAGGGAGGAAATGAAACAATGATATGCTGAAGACACCTTAAAGTGATCATTCTGGGAAGATATCTTAGAGTAGGCATCCCCGAACGGCAGCCCTCTAGTTGTTTAACCATCCAACTCCAAGAAGCCCTAGCTAATTTGTTCAATGGTCTGGAATTCTGGGAAATGGGGGCCCAAACAGATGGAGGGCCATCGTTGGAGGATGCCTGTCTCAGGCCAGATCTACACTGCCCTATATCCCAAGATCTCATCCCTGATTACCTGCTTTGAACTGGATTATATGAGTTGACACTGCTAGATAATCTGGGATAAGAAGATAATCTGGGTTCAGATCCAGTAAAGATTCAACCTTAGAGTACTATCCTACTTCTGCTAAACTTTTGGACAGTATCCATCCTCTGCAAGAATTCCTTATGGAATGTCCACAAGCTTACAAACTTTCCCTCACACCTGTACATAGAGAATTAATGGCAGGTGGGCCATATCTTGTTTTGTATTGCCTTGTCTGTTCCATTTTGCAAGACCTCTAATGGAATTATTTCCCTTACTGTATGCAGTCATCCTATGTCCTGTCTTCTCTTATGCTGAATTTCATCATTCTTATTTCACACTTCCAGATGGGTTTGTGATTCAATAGCACAGGACACCAAGTCAAATCTTTGGTTCATCATCTAGGGTATAGGATCTAGAATTGCACTGACTTTGCTTGCTGTCAGCATGGCAAAGGAAAATAATGGGATTATGTTTTTAAAGACCATAAATTCTCCATCTATATATTCCATCATCCACAACTTGAAAATATTTTTAGTCCAAAAAGCAAACTTTTATTTTGCTGTTTTACATAAGGGATATCATTTTACTATGCCACTATAATAATGGGACTTGAGCATCCAGGGATTTTGGTATCCATGGGTGGATCCTGGAATCAAACCTGAGTGAACATCCTTGAGTTCTGCCAGTTATTGTCACCGACATATCCAATCTTTTTTTCTTAGCAAGGGGGCTACTTGCACTGAATTCTGGGATCTGCATTAGGGGTCTTCCAATGGGTCCATTCTCCCTGTAACCTGAGGTCTGAGTGGTAAACTTCATTCACTTTGATTTAAGCAAAATGTTCTTAAGTGTGTTTTGCAAAAACACCATTTCATTGATGCACCAGGTGAAAGAGGAGACATTTTTATTTTGAAAAAATATTGGCATTGAAAAGAAATTCACTTGGCAATGGGAACAAAACATTACAGCTCATGCCATGATTTGCCAGAAATTAGTCTGTTACAGAAACATTGTCTAGTTATTTTTCAAAAGCCTCTGAAAACTACAGCAAAAGAAGCCATAATCCCCAGCAACTTCTAGGAAATTCCTAATATTTGACCTGTCTGGGGCAACCATACATTAGGGATTGCAACTTACCTTTATATCACTTACTGACTGAGGCTGATGGCTTCTGAACTCCAAAAGCAGTAATAAAGATATTCACAACTACTATGATAAACACCAGTCCAGTTGCAAGATTATTCAGAAAATCCAACTTGGCATGTTTTGCAGGATTATTGAGATCATATTTGACTGCAAGAAAAAATGAGTTGAAATATTATTTTATCACAGAAGCACAATTATAAACACAACCAATGTTTCGAACTGTTCTCTAAATATCTACAATAGACACGATGTGTGTGCTGTTCACTAAACAGAGTCAGCGTAGTCTCTGGAAGGTCATAGTTTGAATCTCAGCCTCCACCAACTAACCATGGCCAAATCACACGCTCTTAGTAGAGGAAGGCAAAGGCAAACTTCCCTTTTACATTAGCTTCTTGACAAAAAATTGAAAAAATAGTCCAGTTTAAAGTATGTTAAAATATTTATTAAAGGAAAATGTTTTAATATGGAAAAATATGATTACTAAAATCAACCATAAAACGACTATATGGAGTAAAAAAAACCAACAACTCCATAATCTGGTTATGGAGTGTTTGTCAAAAGACTCCATAATCTGGAATCTACAGAGTTTATTTAGTTTTTAATGGCATATAAAATGGCTTTAGATTTCTGAAAATATATTTGCCAAAATTCCCCCAAATCAGCTTACTGCTCCCTAGTCCTTCTTACTGCTTTCATTTTCAGAAACAGGGGACATTACAACTGCTTAACAAAATGGCTTGCAAGTGATGTATAGTCTTACTCAATGCTTTGATTGTATGAAGCGTCACTACCTTCTGTTTGCTTGTATCTTTCCTTTGCCTAAATTGCTAAAGGGTAAAGGAAATCAGACAAGCAACAATGTAGCTCACACAGTTATTTTTACTCCCAGCTCTTGAAAAATGTATAAGTGGGCTAAATTAAATATGTATGCTCGCACAAGGAATCGTATGAGGTCTACAAGAAGTGTTCCACATTTCTCTTCCTCAGCTCTCTCCTCAAATGACCTTCCATGAGCTGGTTTGACATAAAACAAGGGATAGACAGGAAAATTAGTTTCTGTTATGTCTTCTGCCATGAACATGTATGAGTCAGAAAGTATTGCCAGAGTTCCAGTGTAGCCACAGAAAAATTATTATAAAGATGTGTATGGACAAAAATGGCATGGTCACCGCACCCTCATTTGTATTTGTTTAAGATGATTCCATAAACAAATAAGAAAAACCAAGTAAAGGCTTCAAAAATTTCAAGTTCAAATATTATTTGGATTTTATAAATACTATTTTAAAAGCTGTGCACATATCTATTGAATCAGATACAGAAAGGGTACTGGAAGCTTCGATTACTTCATTTATAGGTGTGCTTTAATTATGTATTCCTACATGGCAAAGGGTTAGACTAAATGGCCATTGTGATCTCTCTCAACTCTAAAAGCAGGTTCTGTTCTGATTCTGTGATTCTTTAAAGAGCAAGTTTTCCATCTGACTTCCAAAAAAACCTTGCAAATTCCCCTGATGGGTAGAAGTAGAATATTGTGTAACCTCTCATAGGAAATCCCTGCCCTGAATTCCCATGGCACTAGATCTAGTCCCATGGCTCCTAGTCACAGCACCTAATTTCTCAAAAACTGTAAAAACCCAAAAAGGGAAGCATGATTCCAAGAAATGAAAACAGCCCTGGGTTATCTGAATGTCACAAAGCAATTTTCATACAGCTGTTTGATTACCACATTATGGTCTTTCCTCACAGTAGACTGATCTAATGGTTGCAGGCTCAGCATGTAAGTTTCTGATTCATGTATTCAAAAAGTCATCTAGTTTTGTAGCTGAGACATGAAATGATTCTTCAACACTATGGGCATAGGAGAAGGTTGGAAAAAAGGCAGGAATGTCTATTTAAAAAGCAAGGTTCTGAATTCTTAGAGGTAATTACAGTAATCTTAACCCATTATTATAGTATTGTACAATGGAACTAAGCTCACAGCCATTCTTAAGTACAGGTATTGTTAAAGATTTCATTATAGTAATCTAATCCTACTGTCATTGAGACAGGCTCTTTCTTTCCTTCCTTTTTTCATTTAAAAAAAAGAAATGAAAAGCCTCCTATGATTAAAAGCGAGCTTTTTATAGGATGAATATAAGGTGATCTAGTGCCACTGTAAGAGGATCCTCTTTACATACACAACTCAAATGGGAACATACTCATTAACGGTATCCTTCCTCAATACACTCATAGCCTTTACATTTTGTCATCTTGGCAAGCCATTCTGGCATTTTCAAACAGGCTAAAAGTTCATCTTTGCTCACTTCCCAATTCAAGTTAGAACAAATTGTTTTTCTTCTCATTTTTGAACAGAACAAAGATACAATGGGGGAAATACGCAGATTTCAACTGCTTCTAGGCAAGGCGGGGATGGATTTTACTCAGCTCCTACTCCAAAAAGATAGGTTTGGAAGCTGCTAAGAGGAAGCTACTATGAAAAGCTGGGGCAAAGGGCACAGAAAATGTGCCTGGCAGCTAAACTGACCACTTCCTTCCTTCCTTCCTTCCTTCTCCATTCTATAATTTAAAGTTTGTCAACAAGCAAGATCACAGACACAACCATTATATCAAAAAAAAAGTCTTCTTAAAATCACAGTTTAGAGAAAAGGGTAGCCATTTCAGACATTATTTCCTTGAATCAATCAAGGTCCATGTTCTTCTGAAAATGAGGCTGCCAATATTGATAACATTAGACTAAGGACCCATCTAGACAGACACTTAAACCCCGGAATCTGCAGATTCACCCTCCATTCCTGCACTATGGGAGAAACAGGAGCAGAGGGTAAGTGGTCAGTGTAGATCTCTTTAAGCATGTCTGTTGCACCAGTTCTCCTGTCTTTTATGCAGGAAAAACTGGCATTATTCACACAATACCACAGGTGGCACAACCCTAGTAAGAGAAGAGCTATTGAAACTGATGGGATTTTTGTTAGTGTGACTAACAGGTCCCATTCATTTCAATGTCTCTCCTTCATTTATATTAAATTTTACTCGGTGTTTCTCTAGATGGGTAAGAAACATTACCCCCTTTCTTTCAGTGGATCATCTGACATAAGTTGCTTAAGAATAATAACACTAATTGGAAAATGGAGTGATGTAGTTGTGTCACCTTCTACCCTTTCAAAATAATCCAACAGGAATATGTGATAACATTTTAGTGTCTGCTCTTTCAAAAATGAATATTTCAGACAGCAAATACCTTTGAAATGTGCTTTGGAACAGTCTGTTAGAGAAAATTGTCAGGGGGACATTTTGGTTCAAACTAATATAGTTTACTTTGGAGCAACCTTTGGAATTATATACAGTAGAATCTCACTTATCCAAGCACATAACAACAACAACAACAACAACAACAACAACCCTATCTCATCAGCCAAAAGCAGGCCTACACTTCCCACTGAAATACTAATAAGTTTATATTTGTTAAAATTGTTCTTCATTTTAATTATTGTATTTTTAAGTGTTTTTGCACTACAAATAATATATGTGCAGTGTGCATAGGAATTCATTCATTTTTTTCAAACTATAATCCGGCCCTCCAACAGTTTGAGGGACTGTGACCTAGCCCTCTGTTTAAAAAGTTTGTGGACCCCTGGTCTAGAGCAAAATGATCTGGACTAGCTTTGGAAGTGGCCACATGCAGCCTGTTGAAGCCACTATAACAACACTTTATCATTTGCACAGTCCTACTGAACTGGCTCCACTGGAGCATCATCTCCCCTTTTACCATCTAGCCAGAATTCTGTGTGAGCTCATGGATGTTGGAGGTGCCCCATTCTGGTTTCAGCAAAGGTGCCCGGGTGACCTCAACTTTCTGTTCATGTTGGCACCTCTGCTGATTTCAGAATGGGTACCCATAATGGACAGGAGCTTGCACAGAGCTCTGTACCTGATCACGAGTAGTGACATGGGCATAATTTATCACCTTTTCCCTGTGCTAATGGCAGTGTCCCATCTGGATAGTGGATCCACCCAAATCAGAACTAATCCATCTGTCCACTCTGCTGTCCACACTGCCCTGAAGCTGTGGGATACTCTGGAGTTTTCCGAAAATTCCAGAGCATTCCCTGATTTTGCCTGAATCAGGCCAAAACTGCTTTATTTCAACAAAAAAAATCGGCAATACTCACTGGAAATCCTGAAAGGAGTCAATTCATGCTGAGTTTCTGATGCCTGTATAAACCTGCCCTTAGTCCAACACTCAAACCACTACACCAAGATTTTAAGTCACAAGTACAGCCTATGGAAAGTTACTTTTTTGGATGACAACTTCCAGAATCCCCCAGCTAGCCAACCGCTGGACTGTTGTCCCAAAAAGTAACTTTTTCCAAGTTCTAGATATACCAGGGCTTCCTTTTATACAGGAAACATGAGAGTAGAATCAGCAAATTTGCTTTCCTCCCCAATTACATGTAATTAAAATTATATGAAGGAACACTTGAAACTAGTTACTGAGTAAATATCTTCATTTGAAGAGAACCAGCCTTATAGAAACAGAAAATTGACTATCATAACCAAAGTTCATGGCACTAGGGCAGAAAAGCAAGACTAATTATTCACATCATCATACATACCAAGGAATATTAGTAGGACACCCACTCCAACCTGAAGTATGAGTGAGATGGAAATGAGGGCAATAAGTGGGACGTAGAACGAAAAGGAAGGTCCTTGTTCCATAACTGCCTTGAGCTGGGATGCATTGGCCATGAGCAAAGCAATATCCAACATGCTCTCGGCTGCACTCTTCTTGTTGGCATAATGGTTAATGTTAATTGGTCTGTTGTTTCTCTGTAGCCATTGTCTTCCAGGCTGAAAAACAAAAATTCAAATATGTCAAATAGTATTATAGATAGCAGAAGAAACATGATCACAGCAGGATGATCAACATTGTATCAACTTGCCAAAGGTAAAATGATTGTGTACGTATGTGAGAATATAAAGGGAAATCAGGCAAGCAGGGAAATTGTATGTTTGGTTAATTTTGATTGGGCCTTAGTGAACTTCCTCACAAGGAAGGAAAACAGAATTTCCCTACAAACTAGGCTTGAATGGGTTGTTGTAGGTTTTTTGGGCTGTGTGGCCATGTTCTAGAAGCATTTTCTCTTGATGTTTCACCTGCATCTATGACAGGCATCCTCAGAGGTTTTGAGGTGTGATCTCACAACCTCTGAAGAAGCCTGCCATAGATGAAGGCGAAACATCAGGAGAGAATGCTTCTAGAACATGGCCACACAGCCTGAAAAACCTACAACAACTCAGTGAATCTGGCCATGAAAGCCTTTGACAATACATATGGCTTGAATGTCACTGATAGTCTAAATAGAGTAGACTCAATGAATGAACCGTTGAATGGCAAACTAACATTTATGTAAATGCCATTGAATAGATTATATCTACTCTAGTTGGGATTAATTTATATATGGTATCTTAACTTCAAAATGATACTCATGTCCGTTTTGGATTCAGTATAATTTATGTCACAAGCTTCTTCCAAGACACACAAAACTCCTTTGCAAGTGCTTCCCACCCAATAATTGTCACATAAAAACTCTCTTAGGAAAAAACATTCTAGGCCTTCCAATTTAGGTTCAAAGCAGGAATATTTGCCTGTACACAAAAGTTCTGGATAAACTTGAACTTTTAAACTAGCAGAAGAAAGCAGCAAAATCAGGGGGAAAGTGGGTTTAATGGATTGATTAATGATATACACACTTTATATTAAACTTCTCTGGGAAGCTGTTATATTTGGAAGGTATTTTCAAATACACCCACCATGCTTCATGTCAGTCACTCATAAATTCTATTTTGAGAAATGATTAGAAACTTTGCTACCACTGTAAAGGGTTTGTGATGTCTTTCTTAGAATCATTATGAAATCTTCTATATCTTTATATGGAAAACATTCTATGTGAGCCGACTTATCTGAAATGTCAAAGGTTGCACTGGCTAGAATTATGATATTGAGTGACAACAAGCTCTTTGATGTAAGGCGGGAAAAAAGCACACTATATGGGCTTGTTGGGACTGTAATACTTTAAACTCCAGGTAATAGGCTGCATGAATGAATGCTCCTGTATATTAAAACAATAGAAGCTTCACTGCAGGGAACTCTGGTATGGAACATGCTATAGTCATTTTGGATATACTTGCGGTGCTTTGGAAAGGGTTAGCATTGGAAAAGTTATTTGTTGGACTAGATCTCTCAGTACACCCCACTACCTTGGAAGATGTAGTCTTTAAAAAAGGTTTCCAAAATCCAGAGAAGGACACCATGCATATTGCCTGCACTCCTGAGCTCTAGCCATTCAGTTGATTATTACAATAGGATATGGCAATGGTTTCAGTATTAGACTGTGACTCTGGAGCCCAGAGTTCAATAGTCGGAGGAAATCATGTGGAAACTGTGGAGGGAAGGAATAACATGGCTTTACCAGCACCGCCACCACTGCCACTTCCAAGTACATCTCTGTACAAGCAAATTAGAGAGAGAATGGAAAAGAGAGAGAAGAAAGCAGGAGAGATGGAGTGGGAGGGAAATGGAAGAGGGAGAGAAAAGGTGAGCTAAAGAGAATGAGAAAAAGAGATAAGGGAAGAATGAAGAGTTGGATGAGTAGGAGAGAGAGCAAGTGATAAAGGGCAAGACGGGAGAAGAGGAAACAGATAACGCTGCTTTGTTTCCTCTCATTTTTCTCCACTTTGTGGATTTGGTATGTGGTATGTGTTTGTGGATTTGGACTTTGTGGAGTTGTGGACTTTGTGGATTTGGTATGTGTTACCCAGAAGGATAAACACTGAGCAAATGCAGACCTCAAGCCAACTGCAATTCGTTTCCCAGGAGATTCCTAGAAATCATATTTGTTCAGAGTTCCTAATTGCATGGAGACAGTCCTCGGCAGCTAGAGTTGTACATGCCTAGATTTTCTTTTATCTTCAAATGAATGCACGGAGAAGGGGCAGGACATACAGTCCTAATTCTCCCACCACCCCATGCACAGTACATAAAGACCTTCTGTAGAGTCTGAAGAATTTTGACACTGGGCAAGATATGTGTAGATGTTTGTTTATGGCTGTACTCCTCCAGAACCCCTCCTATTTACTTATCTTGCCAATATGGTTACTCAAAATATCTTAAATGATCCCGATCCAATCTGCTTTTTTGCTTTTAGACATCTGTGCCAGTGCTTGAAGAACCCTGGCATATACCAATATTAAATATTTGAAAACAATTTTATTTTTTATTTCTATAGGATGCTTTTCTTTTCCACCAAGTAACTATGCATACTTTTTTGAATTTTCATATTATAATTTTAATGTGGAAAGCAATATAGCACTATTCACAAAAATACTGTATGGGAAGTATTTATATTGCCATACCTCAGAGATTTTTTTTAGCTTATAACTATTTTCTTTGGCTGGAATTGCCTTTGTGGGGAAAGGTTGTTAGGATGTTCTTTTTCACTACAACACACCCCATAATCATATACTTGCAAAACCCATGAAGATTTTACATTTCCATCTTGTTTCCGGAACTAGACACCAGATGCTTATGCAGGTTCTTTCCAATTTACACAAAAGAAGGACTATTAAATACATTCTATGATAAAAGTATTTCCAGTTATTAAGAGATGGAAATAGCAGCAAAGTTCTATTTTGGAAACAGGCAACAATTCTAAACTTATGTAGAACTACAGCATATTTTACACTACAGCATATAGAACTATGATTCAACTTTGTGGTTAGTTGAGCTACTATAGTGCTCTGGTTGAAAAGGTTAAATGCTATTCCATATAGTGCCAATCCTAGGTTTCTACAGAATGGAACCATGGGAGTTAAAATGGCATACTATTTCTGTAATTGTGTAGCATGAATGAGCCTCCTGTTGATTCAAACTTTTCACCTAATGGAAAAATCTTGGACACAAACATTAACATTAATATTCAAAAGAAAGAAAGAAAGAAAGAAAGAAAGAAAGAAAGAAAGAAAGAAAGAAAGAAAGGACGAAAGAAAGAAAAAGTCTCACCATTCCCAAGTTTGCCAAGATTAAGCAGAAACTACTGAATCATTAATTACTGAATAAATGAAAATGCTTCTTGTAAACTGCTGTCTGAGCTGTTGGAGATCAGGAATTTAGGAGGTCCAGGAAGAGCCTATTAGCAATTTCTTGAAAAGTTCTTTTTTTGTGTGGGCCAGAACTCCCAGTGTCCCGTGGTTAGCATCCCAAAAAGTAACTTGCTAGGATAGGTCAGGCCAGCTGGCCCTCATACCTTGTAGCTATAATTTATCATATGGGATCTTTTCTATTTCCCAAAGTCTCAACATTTCATTGAAATAAATTACAGTCTGGGTTTTGCATGTATGCCAATGATTAATATGGTGAATGTATTCTGGCAATGGTTTGGAATTAAAACCAGGTTAGATTTTGGACTTCCTGCATGGGGTTTGGTGCCAGATGACACAAGGTTGGCCAGATGCTTCTCCTCACAAGTGATTGTTCTCTCTCCCTTTGAGCTTTATACAAGACAGCTGTGATTAGGTTTCTTGTTTCCTTCAGTAGAACGGGAGAGTGGTGGAAATAAAAGAAATGATCAAGCTTTACTCTTTCAAAACAAGTTTTGCTTAGATGTAGCAGTCTTGAAACTTTCTTCAGATAATATTATGGGCTTCACCATTTTGTGGCCACACACTCAGCTTCAGACAGCTGCCGTTTCCCTCCCTGTGTCATGGCAGAGGTTCATTGGAAATAGATCGTAAGTCCTATTTACCACAAATAAGTTCTTGGTGAATATGCACAGGCATTTACTACAAAGGACAAACTTAACACAGTAAAGATTTAATGACTGAGGAAGCTGTCAAGTGAAAAGGATGACAAATACCCTTTCCAGCAAAAAGGAAAGGTAAAATATAATTTTGGTATTTCTCATGATTCACAGCTTGCTCTTCTCCTTTCTTGTCATGCTGTTACTTTATTTGAAACTGAAAGCACAGCATAGCTTTTAGTAGTGCTGCAAGAGAATTGGGCTTAGCAAGAAGCTCTTTGGAAATCACATGACATGACTCATACTTTGGAATTCACTGCAGCTTGCATTGTCAAGAGACAGAGATTATTCAACCAGTTATAAAACAGTAGAGCAAATTGGATCACATAATCAACAGGGAAAAATTATGTGTAGCTTGACAATTTAGCCATCTGATAATGAAGTAAAAAACAGGACTACGAAAATATTTAGCCTTCCAAAGCATTCTGAAGGAAAAAGGATGTTTGCTTGCTAATCTTAGATTTGTAACAGGAATTAGGGTATATCTCATTTAGTAAGAAATAGAGAAAAATATTTGCTGATGCAATGGAAGTAAAATTAAATATGATGTACTTAATACAATTGCCTTTTTTTGGCTTGCAATTGCAATCAACATCAAAACTCTGATATCTTACAACAATAACTGAGGCTGAAAAAACTCGCAGGCCCCTGCTTTTAGTCTGATTTGAGCTGCAGCAGGGAGTTCCACAGTTCCTGAACATCTGGTCAGCATGAAGACAGGGGGATGTGGCCCCTGCAGCAGCTTGAACAACAGGGACTTATTTCTCCTTTTTTTTCCTTGCTAAACTGAGCTTCCTCACTTCAATGTAACAACCCTTAATAAATAAGTATCTTTTCCTTTAACTTTACCTCTTCATAGTGATACATTGTGTCGCTTTACTGTCTCAAACATTAACAAATATGAACTTTTCCTTTTCTGAGCCACAGATCTCTGCTGGCTCGCCCGGGATGCCCTTATAGCGTCCCGGGGAGGCCAAAACTGCCTTCCTCTGA